CTGGTGAACTTACACCAAGCAAAAGTGCCTTTGGTAGCGCAGCCTCTCTTATTGCACCTTACAGCCCCATCCACATCCTCCTCCCCTGTCTGCCCCTTGCTACAGCCACCCACAGTGTCCTTCCTCACTTTGCAACAGCTCTCATTTTCTCCAGCTCTGCTCTTCACCACATTCACACATGGTGCTATCAACAGTCCTAGGCATTTCCTGGGTGAAGCAGGTTTCTCTACACCAAGTTCCTCCCGACATGCTGGGCCTGAAACCTTTTCCCTCCCCCTCCTAAAAACAATGCTCACAAGCTTTCATTTTTGCTGTGACCAGTTTGAGCTTACTTCAGCAGAGCTGCTCTCCAGCTAGGCTTGCACATCCTTTCTGAAGGTGGATGAGAGCTGTAGAAAAGAGACACTTTTTTAACCAGAGTGGCTGAAAAGCCAATGCCACTGTGCTATTGACACTGCTGGACGCCAGTAGGGCCTGGGCAGAGCTGTGGCTCAAGGGATGCCCCATACCTTCACACATGGCCCTTCTGCTGTAGGGAGCTCTGGCACACTTCACCTCTACCCAAGCATACCCAGGCAAAGAAACCCTAAACAGGTCATAACAGTACCCACCCACCCTCACCCTTTAATCCAGCTTTTCACCAGGAGATCCTGAAACACAGCAGCAACAACCTTGCAGCAAGATGGGTAGACACATACATGCAATGTGCTCCTTGAAGCACAGACGCATTTACACAGATGCCACCAACCGTAGAGGCATTGGAAAGGTGCATAATTGAACACAGCAGTGCCTCTCTCCAGTCCAGAATCAGATCTTTGCTTTTCTAAAACCATTCCTTTTCTGTCCAAAGATCAGCAAAAAGGGTTCTTTTGAACCATGAAACGCCCAGAGCTTTTCTCCTCAGGCAAGGATTTAGGGATAGTAATTCCGCTTGGTGCCCAGGATTGGTTTTTGAGAGCTCAGAGCACATGCATTACAGGTCGCTGCTCCTTGCATCCTTCAGTTTGTTCCAGATGACTAGGCCAGCATTTGGGGGATTTTGGTTTGGTTTTGATTGCGCTTCAAGGCATCTCAAAGCAGGTCAACATCACAGGAGTGAAACTCCATGTCCTCAGCTGCTGTGAACTTCCTACAGGGACTAAAACAGGAAGGAAACAGCTCGCCTGGCAGCTGGAAGGCAATGCTGGTTCTCCTGTTGCTTGCAATAAGGAGCATGGACTTAGACCTGCACTAAGTGGACCTGCATCCAGGGGGTGGGTGCTCCCCATGTGCAGCACTGATGGTGAATTCGCTCTGCACTCCTGCAGAGCAACAGTTCTGTCTAACTGTACCCAAACATAGGCAAAGCTAGATGCCAAAGTACATCTGCACAGTGTGTTTCAAGTGACTGTGTGCTTTGTTGAAGTCGAACAGAAGTGGATACACACCAAAAACAATAAATGAAATACTAGGGAGAGTGAACACAGGCTGAACTAAGCAGGGCAGCAGTGCACAGCTTGCTGTGTCATCCATTGCAATGCTAGGACAAAGCTTTGAGGAGGACAAATGCCTCACATTTAAACAAAAGCCAGGAGAACATTGCTCTTTGTGCAAAGAAAGCTCCATATGCCACCCATCAAGTCCTTGGGATGACTCAGGGTCACCCATTCAGCAGCAACCCCATTTTCATTTGTTGATACAAGTTCCAGTTTGACCATAATAGCTAGAGGAGATTGCCAGGAAAGAGCCCCCTTCCCACCATCACTGCTCCAGACTGATACAAGGCAGACCCCCAGGTAGAGCAAGCCCCACTCAGAGGCCAGCCCTTCTGGTCTGCCCCCAAAATAGCATGATGCATCAGGAAACAAAGTGAGTGGCTTCATTCTGACATGAGCCTGAAAAACCCATTCGTATGAAGCACATGGAAGTAACAGACAAGTTCAATTCATTTGCAGTTTCCCTAACCAGTACTGTATTTTAATCAAAAACATTCTGGGGCAGGACTAAGTATCTTCACTGATTTCAGACCAGCACTTCATCTTGCAAACGTTGCAGCAGCATTACAAGGAAAGTAACTCCTTGCTTAAGAATGGGAAGAAATCAAGGCACCTTAGCTAGAATCTGACTGAAGAAAAGGACAGGCAAACTTCAACATTGCATTTATGCTTCCATGGCATAAAACATCCATGAGGGTTAAGCACAATACAGTTTATCTTTGAATCGTGGGGCTCATGTCGAGCATGCCCTCAGTTCAAGCATTAAATCTGAGGGTCATTAGTTAGTGTATTTAAACCAGTCTCATGTAAACATGGCATTGTAGCCTAGGCCCAGCTTGTTTGCATAGGTAAGATTAGTCTGTTACTTGCCAAATCACAGGAACTTCTCTCCATGTATCTAAAAGATAGGGGTATTCCAGAGCATTTGCTTCTTATCGCCTGGTTTTAGTGGAAAATTTAATCTCATTAAGTACACAATTTGAAATACTGAATCCTGGTGTGGTCGGATTTCTACACCCAGGACACTGCCTTGATACCAAACAAGTTCAGAATTGCACTCAGAAATGATATTTCCTCCAGGTCTTTTCCTCTGACTGCAAGCTGTAGCATATAGCCATTGGTGCGTGGCAAGGTACGACAAACTACTCAAGAGCAGCTGACCTCTAGATCCAAAATGGCCAAATCAGACAAACCCAGCAAGCTCAAATGAGACCCTAAAAGCACACAGCACGCAAGACTTACCTTCAGGCTTGTTGCTCATGGCAGAGTGAGAGCATGCACAGGGAACATGCACAGATCAGATATTTGCATTAGTCTTGCAAGTCAGCACACCTCAGACGTGAAACAAGGACTGGGTCATTATCCAGAAGGCTGACCATCCCAACCTGCTTTGGCAGTAAGAATAAAGCCAGCATGTTTGGAAAGCATTTTCAAACTTTATTTACAACTGTCACAGTGACAAAAATGTAGTTTGAAAAAAATGCTAGCTTCTCCCTGAGGCTCAAAAAAGAATTACAGAAATATAGAATGTATATTATACAACAGGAGGCATTTTACTGGAGTGCTTTGTTCTTTAGATACGTTCAACAACAAATAGAAATATACACAATACTTCCAAAAAAAGGATGCAGACAGAAATATGCAAGTCTTTAGGGCAGACAGCAGGTCTGAAGTCCAAGGATTGCCATCTCATTGCTGCCCACATGGTAATATCTTTGATATACAGCTTTGACTTGGTGGTACAGACAGTAGAGACCAATAGAGAGTAACACTTAGAAATAAGATGACTGGCTGGTATGCAGGTGTACAAGCTCATTCCAGTAAGACAGCAAGACTAGAACAAGTGTTACAGACACAACAGCTGAATCCATTGTTAGAGAAAATGGTATCACCACATCACGACCGTTTGGTGCTCAACCATCCACCAAGACTGGCAGGGAGCATATATAACTGGGTCTGCATTGCTGGACCAGAGACCAGACGCAGTGTAGGAACACTGAATTTCCCCTGCTTTGTGCCAACTCCTCTCCAAACTCCTATCTGTCTGAAACAGTTATGCAGAGCTGATAAATTATTGCCATTATGTTTAAACATAAGCAAGACAAGACTAAAACAATCCTGCCAATATGTTAAAAGCAGTTCCCAACCCCCACCAGCGTTTAACTACTCATGAGGTATTAAAAATACAAATACACACATGTCCAAATAGATTTTTAAAATGGAACCAGTTATAAGCAAAGGGGGGTGGCATTGGGATTATTATGAAAGTTTGGTTAAGGCCTTGACATTTCTTTTTCTCTTCCATGACCCCAGATTTGGTTTAGGTGGTAACTGTTCTCATCCTATCCCAAGACCAACTGGCTCCTGAGCTGGTCCCTGAAGCTGCGAGATCACTACTGTCCAGGAAAGCAGCTGGTTACCCTGTCTGGCAGCAGACTGGCCTCCTCCCCAAATGGAGACAGACGACTTCTCCTTGAAGCAGGATATGGTGAACAGAACACAACCACAGACTTTGCAAGCCAGTCTGCACTTCAAACAGCGACGAATGTTTCGCCCTTGCTACAAAGCAGAAAGACATCTTATCTCAGGACACCTGGGCTAATCCTCTCCCAACAGATCCCTCCTGCAACACCCCCCTTTCCCATCGGTGATCCACACTAGATGTGGTGTTTCATCTTTGGATTACCTCCAGGTCTGGCAGCACTCCATAGCATGCACACCCCTACCAGCCTGTCCTGCACTGAGGAGGCCTTGCAGTGCAAAGCTGGAGGAAATCCCCAACCCCATCCCTCAAGTCCATTGACCAGCAAGTTGGAGGCATGAAACCCTACAGCCTCAAAGACACCAAGGTAAGGAGGCATAACCTCCACCCTCTGACTTTGGACACTGTACAAGATGAGACCAACCACAGCAGCCTCAGCAAATAGGAGAGAAAAATCTGAGGTGTTCAAACCTACATGAGCTCTTGCTGCAGACAGAAGCATCTTTACATCCAATGCGCATTACCTCACACTAACCACCTGCAAGATAAACTATGGCCTTGCAGCAGAGATGACAAGCAGCAGCCTAACATTATCCTGCAAACACAGCTGTTCAGCACTGAAGAGTCTAAAGGCAAACAGAGAGGGGAGAAAACAGCTTTGGGAAAAGTGGCTGGAAAACAGGCTCAACAGCAAGAGCAAGAAACCCAACTACTCCTATGGACACTCACCTTAGCCTACGAGATGCCGAACCGAGGAGAGCTACAGGTCCCTTGTCAGTACAGCATTTAGCCATGCTTCACTATGAACACCCTTCCACCCCACCCAACACACAAAATGGAAGCTGTAAGAAAGGCAAATATGAGAGATTACAGCTCTGTTCTCATACTTTTCACCAGAGGCAGGTCCCAGCCAAATGCTGCTGCCTCCGACTTTCCTCCCCCTCCCCAAGCTCCCCCCTCCAGTGGTCCTCACATGGTCACCCTCTGCCATGTGCTTGGAATTTCACTGCTGCCTCCGCCTCGGAAAAATACAGATAATGATCTCGAGAACAGCAAACATTTCTCTGCGTTACTTCCTTCCTTCCTCAGGAGGTCTAGTGACACTGAGGGCTTCAGTTCTCAATACAGAGAATACAAAAAAACTAAGATCTCGCAGGTGCAAAATTGAACTTGTCTTTTTTTTAAAAAAAGACTTTCAAAAGAAGTGTGGCTCTTCCTTCAGAAGGGTGCAGTCCCTTGCCTTTCCTCAGATGCCATTTATTGCTCCTTGTTGTCCTTCTTTGCATCTTCACAGTTTTCTTCCTCCTCTTCCTCCTCCTCCTGCACAAGGAACTCTTCAGGTGGCCATCTCAGCTCACCACTCTCCACATCACCGTCCGTCGGCTCCACCACAATTGAGGGCAGGCGGTCCTTCAGCTTACAGTAACGGTCAAAGTCTGAGGGATCAGGGAAGATCTGAAAGAGCCAAGAAACAGTCTGTGAGAGGGGCTGTGTTCAAGCAGTCTTACCCAAAACCCAACTCAAGACACTCGGGTCTTCGGGGCAGACCAGCCTGGACACAGAGTAAACCACCGAATGATGGGAAGACTCTTGAACTTGTAAACAAGCTTCTCTAATCTCAGTACTGGAAATGAGCACTGCCCAAGAGGCTTCCAAAGCACATGCTTGCTTAGATAGTGCTCAGCAAATAGGCACCTGCCCTTTCGAGTATTTATCCAAAGGCCTCACCCCACAGTCCCCCCCCACCGCTTCTGCATTAATGCTCATAAGTTTGCACAGTGAGCTATCTTGAGCAGAGAATCTGAGATCTCATTTCCTGCTGCTGGTCAAGCTGCACACAAGAACAGGCTTGTGCTCCAGGCTCTGCTGCTGGAAGGGAGAGGAGGCATGTGGCAACTCAGTGACAGAGCACTCCAGACCTTGCAGCAAGGGCCACAGCACTGGACTGAAAGAGAAGTTCAGCTACATTTTAGAGATGATTTTGGTAGTGTTCTGCATGCTACAGCTGCCATACATCAGCAAGTAAACTCAGCAAGATTACACTAATTTTATGGAAGGGTTGGAGACTGGAACATATTTCTTCAGGCAGAATGTACCTGTGGCATAGCCAGCAATCATGCACCCTATTCCTCCTGCAAGGAATATGAGGACCTCCTTATCTACAGCCCCCACAATGTGCACAGGTAATCACCTTACTACTTCCCTCGCACCCATAGCTTGCCACATGGATGCACAAGCTCATGCACTGCAGCAGTACCAGGGCCCATACTCACTGGCAGTGCCACTGGGATGCACACTTTGCCTCAGTTCCTAGTAGGATCAAAGACACAGGTACAGGAAAAACTGCCACCGCAGTGCAGTATTAGCAGGAGCTTTGTATGTCTAGATTGCAACGTGAACAGAAAAGGTTGCTGTTACTTATAGGGATGCCCTACTAGGGGAACAGCTTCAAATGCCAGCTCATCTGAAAAAGAACTGCTGGATGACAAGAACCAGTTGCCACATCAGATCCCCTGGTTGGTAACCAGAAGATGAAACAGTTATCACCTGTATATTTCAAACAATTTTATCAGAATGCCCATTTCATCTTACATTGCATTTAAACACCCCAAAGAAGATGACAAAAAGCATTTTCCCCTCAAGATTGTAGGTGGAGTGAGAAGTCAGGCACTGTACTCTTCTTCAAACACCAGCTGCATTCAAGTGAGCCATAACAGCATCCTTGCAGGGAACAGCACCAGCACGTCCAGCCTCTGACAGGCACACTGCTCACAGATGCCTCAGTTTGAGACCAAGTTCTGGTCTGATTTGACCTTTGTGGTTCCAGTTACAAAAGCAGGTTCCCCATCCAGGAGCCCTGCCACGAAGCATCATTCTCCTCATGCCAATCATGCAGGTACCCACCACCTTGGGAAGCCCTGGCCCAAACCCCAAAGTGGAACAACATCCTATCCACTTGTTCTTCAGCTTAGCAACTACTAACTGCACCATTACCTCCTTGTCAATATTCAGTCTTCTACTGTTCAGCCACATTTCTCCCTCACATCAAGCTTTGTGGCAACCAGGCTACCAATCTAAGAAAGCAGGCGAGTTGCTACTTAATGCAAAGTCAGGCAAGGTAACTGAAGGCAATGCACAACACAGGGGCTGTTTTTGCATACATCCATCTGATCCTGGGGACAGTGCTGCAGGAGTCTAGCTCCCACTACAGCATCCACCATCCATATGCTTTTCAGGTGCACAGCAAGCAAGGAGTGAGCAAGGTCTTTGAACACGGCCACGTTAACATAGGCATTGCAGCATGAGCTACTTGCTATTAGTCACTCCCAGCACAAGTGAGGCAGTAACCATTTCTTGGAGGTTGGTGGCTTCTGCTTGGCCAAACAGAGGCAGTTTCAGACATGTGGTGAATCACTGGAACTACAGTCAGTGGCTCTTAAGCATCAACTTGTTATCTAAACTCAGGATAGGAAAAAAATACCCTTGACATTACATGGTTTAGAAGGCTGCAATGGAAAAAAAAATGTAGTTCAGGAGGTTACATAAGCTGATAATGTCATGAAAATAGCCTCCTGTGCAAGAAAAATAGCAGTATAATAATTAAACTAACCTTTGGCTGCTATCATTTTAAGCACATTAGGTCAAATTGGAGCAATTTCTTTGAAAATAGCCTGCCAGATTTTTTTTCCAGAAACTAAGTAAGTAGTAGTCATTTCCTTACAAACAAATATCCCCGAAATGTGGTGTGCAGCTTTTTTAATAAAAAACCCTAGTACAATCTTATCTCAAACAGCTGCAGGACAGGCCGAACCCAAGAAGGTCAGGATTTTTTCCACTAAGTCATGCTTTTTAATTGTCAAGGCAGCATGAAGTGAGATGTTGCAACTGCACTTTCAAGGGGTGTGGACAGTCAATGGAAAAAATACACAAAGGCAGATTTCCTCGCATGTGACAAGCAGAGTGACACAGCAGGCCAAGCACAGGGACTGAAGGAAAAAGGGTTTCAGATTAAGACTGTTTGCACATCTTGTGGAAGGTGGCTGGAAAAGTTATCCCAGCCAGCCTCTCCACTCACTCCAAAATAAGCTGGATTGCCAGACTCTTTATAGAAAAAGATAAGCAAGCACCAGCCTTCTGCTGTCTGACACCAGTAGTGCCGTGCTGCATTTGTTGGTCCCATATGCGTAATCTGGTCCCACTCCAGATTTAGACAATGGGAAGAAAGAAAAAAACTCCAAAACTTGTAGCAAGGTCCCCACTGGGAATGCAGCAGCTCAGCTCTGACCTGTGAGCTCTGCACCCTTTTGCACAGCAGCCAGGACAGCTTGCATAGCAAAACCTGCCTACAAGCCTTTCTGCTCACATCACCCAGCTCGGTCACATGGGAGGAAGACTTTGCATCTCTCCACCACCCAAAGAGCACAGCAGCAAGGAGTTAACTTCTCCCCCTCATTAGTCAGAGGAAGCCACCTTGCACACAGCTGAAGCAGATACCTACTTTTGGCTGATCTGGTCACTTGATGGGGGACAAGTGACAACCACCAACTGGTTGTGAAGGCTACCTAAGAGCAAACTGAGCAGCAATTAAAAAGCATCTTTCTCCCCCTCACTTGCACAATACAGCACAAGGGGGTGCAACTGCTTCTGCAGAGCCCCCTTCTGTGTCCAAGCCCCAACTCCTGGCCCATGGAGAGACACATCTGACACCTTTAGAGCCCACAGAGGACATGTATATATTGCTTCTTACACTAAACACAGCTTCTCACTCACAGCAAGACTGGTTTTCACAGGCCTCTCCAGATTATGTTTTGGGAACTGCTCTCCTCATGGACTAATCCAGACCACATTCAAATTGACCAAGCTCTTGCCTTGCAGCTGGAAAGGGCAGTGAAAAGCAAAACTTGAAACGAAAGCTTGAAATGATTTTAGAAAGATCATGTTTGCCTCTGTTTCGGATGATCTAGCTCTTCTATCCCTGAATGAAGTCTTGGCAACAAGAATGGAAAGTTTTCATTGCCCTGAGGAGGCTCGTACTCTCTCTCAGCATTCACAGGGATGGAGAAACACCAAAAGCAGGAGAGATGTCAGACAATTAAGAGGATTAGCTCAGCACTACCATAATCCAAGTGACACTTGTAAATTCAAAACAACTTCCACATGTGTACTCCATACCAACACCCATAGTTAAAATGCCTGTCTCTCCTCCCATGGGGCTGAAAACTATTTCAATTATATTACACAGAGACTAAGGCAATGAGATCTTTCCAAATTAAGCTACTCTTTTGGAGGAAAGCTTTGCTTCGTTGTGCTTAATACAAGACTGAAAAGTCTGTACCAAGAGGCATATGACTTCAGGTACAGTATACACCATGAGTGTACCCACATCACTCATCCTCCCAGTACTAAAAAGCTAAGTTTTGTATCTCTTCAGCAGTATCAAGCCAACATTTCAAAACCCAAATCAGCATTTAAGTTCTTAAAATAAAACTTTACTGCCATTGAGAAGCATGGCAAGCTCATTTCAGGAAATATTTAAATCATCTCTCAGTGTCCTCTTTGGAGGAATTTTCCAGCTATAAGAAACAGTGCTAACACATACGTTTACCCACACAGTAGTCATGACTTGAAACTAAGCTCCATCTAGTACGCACACAGCAGCCTGTGACTGATGTTTACAAACTATGTATGACAAGTCCCCAGTCATAGACAGATTGCCCTGTCTTGGGGGACAGTGGCATGGAAACTTCATACACCATAACTATTTTCCACCAGAGTAACACTGCATCAAGCAGGGAGGAAAAAACATACACCGAGATGTTCTGATTAGCTGCTGTCTTCAGTTTGCATTTCAGTGGAACACTTTTTTGCATAGCATAGCTGCAAACATGATTAGTTTTGGCTCTGTTTATCCCATATCCTGCTTCTGCCTTCACTTAAGGCCCCAGACCCAGAAACATACATTGATTCAACCTACTAATCTTTTCAAGTAACCATGCTTTGGATGTGCTACATGAACAAGTTATCCTAAACTCACTTGCCATCACCAACTTTTTTCAGCCCAGTCTCAAGACACAGTAGCAAGTGCCAGCTCTAATACAAAACCTCCCCTGCACAAATCAAGGCTGCACCAACATGAAGCACCTTACAAGCAAACAAAACAATTACAGACGAAGCTCAATTTCCACGCTTTGCCATCAGCCCCTGGCTCAGTAACATGTTGGCCCCCCAGTTTCACTGGGGAGATGCAGCAGGTGCAGCTCAAACCCCTCAGCACCAAGCACCACAGCTCCTTGGGAAAATCAGTGCTTTACTGGTGCTGGTGAGGTGTTGCATTCACTAAAAAACACTTCCCCAACAAGACAGACAACCCAAGCTTTCAACATAGACACTGGATGGAGCGTTAAGCCTATTTACCTAGATTCAGTCAGTCTGACATGATTCACAGCTAGCTGTGGCTGTGATTAACCTAGACACATCCCAGCATGATGCGATCATGACTTAAAGAGCTCAAGCTCCCCATGACAACCAAACCCCAGCTGATGGCATGAGGCAGGCTCAGCCTCCACAGGCCAATCTCTTAAAAGGGACTCTAAGGTCCCAGAGGACCAGCAAGCCAGCCAGACAGCTGGTCTGCAGCAAAGCAGCAAGCTCAACTCAGGACACAGCATTTGCTCAAAATAAACACTTTGGGCACCAAAGTGTTTTCAGTTGTGCTCAGACCCTGCTCCACTTCCAAGAATCAAGGCAGGATTCAGGTTAAGGCACCGTTTCGACAACAGCTCCACGAAATGATTCAGCCCCAGTTTCAGTAGCATCGTTCATGCTGCTGTGAGACAGGATCAGAAGACAAGCTGGCAGAGTGCTGATGAGGCTTTTCAGAGAACAGGTATATGTAGGGGCTGGAAAACAGCAAACAGGACATTAGCTCTGACTGGCAGCAAAAAAGGCCCAGCTCACCAGAGATCACCAGGCAGGAAGCACACAAAGCCCTCCATCCCTCCATAGGCACATCTGTGTGTAGCAGGGGCATCTTGAGCCATCAGCTGCATTTCAACGAGTTTTTTGTTTAGTAAGTCCCATGGGAATTATGGGACATCTATTAAAGATCCAGAAATAGCTCTTCACTGCAGGCACAAGACCCAGCATGACATCATCTCTTCAGCTGCATCTTCTGTTTTGTCTATGCCACCCTGTTCTGAGACTCATCCCCCGATTTCACCATTCACTCCTGCTCAGGCCCTTTACATCTGTTGGCTGAACCATCTTCAGGGGGCTCAGAGAGCTTTATGTTGCAAATACAGTAATAAAAGCTGCTTCACAAAGAACAGTTTTGAAATTAGCACATTAGCTTACAAACATTTTGCGTACTAACTAGAAAAAGGCATTTCCACACTAAGAAAGCATATTTTGCAAGTGAAACTGTACAAATTACTAAGCCTAGACAGGCAACTCTTATCACTGGTAAGACTTCTGTAGTCCGAGTTTCCACATCATTGCTTAAAAAGCAGTGATGGCCAGCCCATGAAAGGCCAGGAAGCTTCACACCTTCACCTAATGTCTAGACAGACAGACACTCCAGGGCACAAGCAGAGGCAAGCAGGTGGGGGAGGCAGAAGGAAAAAGTCAACAAGCCAAGTTCCCCCCATAACCAGTGACACAGACAAGAGCCCTGAAGTTTAGTGAACCCCACAGGACAGAGGAATCAGATTGCTGAAGTTCATATTCAGGGTATGAGTTTGTTTCTTCAGTTTACTTCCAAGTAAAGGCAAAACTACTTTGAAACAGTACTGTTGGTAGGACAGAGACTGATGTGCTTTACAGGTCCAGTAAAGCTGCTGTACCATCTCCTCTGGTACAGACAGTTCCATGTCTGCATATGGTGGCAGAAGCAGCCCCCAAGCTCACAGCTAGCACCCTATGGCCCAACTCCCAGGCAGTCCCTGCTCTACACAGCCTGATGGGAGACATTTTGAAGCTGGGTTCAAGGTCATCTCTGCAGTAAAGTAAATCCAAGTTCTACTACTAGAACAAGAGAAACTTGTAGCTAAAAGTTTGCCTTTCCCAGTTCTGGTTCCACTTTTTTTTGCCTCTCATAGCCAGCCAGGGGCTATTACACTCACATTGTGAGTGCCCAGCTCCAACGAGTGGAGGAAGATGTTGCAGCTTAGAACAACAAGCCTCAGTGTAGGAGCAGTCATGCTCCATTAGCCCTGTCTGGTTTTAAGTTATTGCACTACAGCCCTCAGACTAGCATACAATTTTCCATGTACCAAACTCTCCATCAGCAAGATGAAGCACCAAGTGCCAAAGCCTGAGGTAGAACAAAGAGTTCACAGTGCAATTTGCATCAGATTTGTCCTTGCTGTTCTAACTTGAGTTTTCAGCCCTTTAAGGATTCTTTCAACTTACCTTTATTTACACTGTGACATTCTCAACCCAGCAGCCACAGGAGGAAGGCTGGAGCCTGTTCCTCAATCCTCTTTACACTAACCTGATTTAGAGACACCTCATACACAGCCCAAAAACCGCTAGTGCCCCATCAGGATCTTCCCTTTCAACATCACAACCCGTGCTCCCATCAATTTGGCTTGCATCAAGGTAAAGTACTGGCAGGCAGTTCCCAGCTCTTGCAAGCATTTGAAAAAAGTCATCTATGACTAGACCACTACAGACAAGAGATCCAAGGTGCAAAAATCCCTGCATAGATATGAGTTGCCAGCATTTATGACTCACACACCTTCAAGTTCAGATGATCCACTCAAAACTGAACAGGCCTGTTCCCCAGTTGGCCCAAACAGACTTATCAAGGTCATTAGCACTTGGGGAAAAAAACTCACTGAAGCAATCATTAGAATAAGCAGGGCACCTAGATTCTGCCTCTCACTGGAAAATTTGGATAGAGGAGTTTGACCTGAGTGGGTTAAGCCTCTTCATGTAGTGACCCATAAAGACAACTGAACATCCCAAGCAGGCTAGTTAAGATTGCTTCAGGTTTAAAAACCATTCTCATTGCTGTACACTCCCTCTACAGGAAAGAGAGGCCATGTACTTTCCACTAACTCAAGCACTGAAGCACAGCACAGCTATTTCCACACACAGGCAACAAAGCAAACAACTTGCACTATTCAAATCCAGAATTCTGACCAAAAAAAGCAATGCATCCCCTTTTCCTCCCTGCAGCTTTGGCTTTCACTGGAGGCCTCAGCCATGGCCCAAAGTTCAGCTGATTTCATGCATCAGTGCACTGTTACTGCCTTGTAGCTCATTTTTCAGGCGTAAGTATGCAAGCATACAACAGCACACATCACTCGAATGCACACTTAGAGCAACTGCCTCTGTGCAGGCTGTGTAACATCTGCAAATGAAGAAACCTGCATGAGGATCTGTTGATAATGCACCCAACACACAGACCAGATGCAAGTCATCTGCATGCACTCAGCAACTGTGCTAAATCTCATCAACAAATCTCTGGAAGAGTAAGAAAAAATGGCTCTAGCAGGCTAACATGCACGACTCACCCTTTGATTAACTATAAGCTAGGAAATGAAAGGGATACGGAGACTAAAGGATTAAGGCTCAAGCTAGTTTCTAAGACCACTTCTTCACCCTAGTCATTGATCTAGAGGTTAATAGCCAATTACATTGTTCAGAACTTTCAGAATGAACGCAGCTCATGCCCTCTGGTATAATATCTCCAGTGACATTTCAAGGCTTGTTTAGGCTGAGTCTGGCCTCACTGTATCTTACAGAAGACTGTTAACCCTCTCCAATGGGCCCATGAGTCGGAAAGACAAAGAAATAGATTTAAAAAAAAAAAATCTAAGTGCCACAAACAACTCCCTCCTGCTCTAGGCAGATCATTTGTATGCCATGTTACAAAGACCTCAAGAGTCCTCTCAGGTGGGCGAGTGGTGCAAACCCTTCTTTAACTGATCTCCCCATCTCCCACTGCACCCCCATGAACGTTCAATGAGCAGGGGCTTGAACACTTCAGAAACAACCAAGTCCTTTGCCAATCTGGTCTGATACTGAGGGATATTTTAGACAAGCAGCCCCTGCCAAGCAAGCATTCCAGCCTGTTGACTAGTTCTCACTACAGCAAGACCTGCTATTAGGTTGGGCTATGAAAAGGTACATTAGACCGAGTTTGCAGTCCAGTCCAGGCAATTCCATAGGGGATTACTGCCTTAGCAGCCAGCAAAGCACTCACCTGATAGGACAAGCCGTCCTTGCGGGGGCTTAGCCCAATCTCATCCATAGCTGGGGTATTCATCATCACTTCAGTCATTTCAGCTGTTCTCAGATAATCAGAGCTAGAAACAAAAGACAGCATTCAAATGATCTGAGGGGCTCCAGAAGGGCTGAGCAAGATGTAAGTAGCATCGGGAAAGAAAAGCAATCAGAAGAGGCTGTCGGCAGTCTCTGGTCCCTTCCTTCCTGCCCCCCCTTGGAAGGGGATGGAAAAAACTCAGCACCTCGTAAACCGGCGCTACAACCCCTGCGCCTGGGAGCAACTCCCTGACTTTCTCCCCAAGAGCAGAGCGCAAGAACACCTCGGGAAGCTTTAACAGCAGCAGTTCACTGTTCACTCCGCTTCCTCCTGCTCTGCCCCCTAAGGGGGGGGAAGTAAAAAACTCATAGCAAATAAGTGGAAGCGCTCGTTAATTTTTTTGAACGGGGGGTGTTGGATCTTTTTAAGCTGTGTGCTTTACCTCCTGCTGACTTATTTTACAACCTCAGGGACTTCCACACCAGCGGAGCGCACGGCGCCAATTCCGGCTCTGCTTTTACAGCCTTAATGGTATTTCCAGCTCGAGAAAGTGAAGTGAGTTCCCACAGCTCGCAGTTCCTCTATTGCGTCTCACCCCGCTACTGCTCAGCTCGCATCGGCCGGCGTGTGTGTGTGTGTGCCCCGCCGCCACCAGCCT